GATAAGGCCTAACAATCCAACATATGGACTTCAATATTTATTTACGTAAAACACGTATTTCAATTAACTTATATTTACATATAGAATAATATTTAATTTTCATATTGATGTCCCTTTTTTGAGTTGGAAAATTGCGTATTTTCTTTTTTTTAAAGATCGTAGACGTGATGGGATTGTAATCTACACATTAACACCAATTCATTCACTCAAAATATATTCATGCTTTTTAAGTAATGAAGTTATTAATATTTGGTTATCATAATGTCATTTCCGATGTTTCAGGTGTTTTGACATCGCAATAACAATGTCATATATATAAATGAGAAAATAACCCAGATACATATTTATTATTTATGTAATACATAATTCTCTGAACAACCCATTTTTATAGAATAAAACTGAGACATATATTGGGACCTCGGCCTGGCAATTTATATATATATATATATATTTAGTCCGATCCTGCCCCGTTCCTGTAATTGCAATTCTTTTATCAAATATACCTTATACCCGATAAGGATAATTAAGTATATATATACAATAAATATATATAAATAAGTCCGATCCTGCCCCGTTTCTGTCCGTTCCTGTAAATCGTCGCCCGTTCTTGCCCGATCCATATCAATACAATACTTTCAATTCGTTGCAATCCTTTTATCAAATGACGTATCTTGTACCCGATACATTTATTACTGTGATATTTCACCGTAATAAAGAAGTATTTGGTTCATAACTTGGTCGTACGGGGTAGTATTGGGTAGTATTGGGTGGTATTTGGTAGTATTGGGTCATAGTCACGGCAATTCGGTGATGTTTTCGGCACCAAATCGCATATTTCCCGATAAAATATGGCAGATGGAAGTAAATAACGTCTACAAAGGTCACAGTAATAAAAAAGTATTTGGTTCATAACTTATTCTTTAAAAATGGGTTGTATATGGGGTAGTATTGGGTAATATTGGGTGGTATTGGGTAGTATTGGGTGGTATTGTGTAGTATTGGGTGGTATTGGGTAGTATTGGGTGGTATTGTGTAGTATTGGGTAATTATTAGACGCGCCTCTCTTTCATTGCACGATCTGGCTTACTACAATTCAGTGTTGCGTTGACAGCAATGTGATCACCAAGAACAGTGTTTAGTTTTATGAACATAATCATCGCTGTCTCTAATATATGCATACACCAAGTTTACAAATATGGACATAATTTAACTTAATCAAATTAAATGTAACGTTTGCATTAATTTGCATTAAGCTGCTGGCCCTGATACCTTAAAACCAATTAAGACTACTTATGGAACTTGCAAATGAAATAGCCCCCATTCTGACACCGATTTTTACCAAATCATACAATACTGGCATTGTACCAAATGACTGGAAGACTGCTCAGGTAGCCCTCTTATACAAAAAAGGACAACGCTAAACTCCTGAAAACTACCGTCCCATATCGTTGACATCTGTTTGTTGCAAGCTTTTTGAACATATTATAGTAAGTCACATCATGACCCATTCAGATAATCACGACATACTCTACCCTTTGCAACATGGTTTTCGAAAATTCAGATCCTGCGAGACCCAATTATAGGAATTTGTTGAAGATATTACTCAAAATTTAGAAGCTGGCAAACAAACCGACGCTTTAATATTAGATTTTTCGAAGGCATTTGACAAAGTCAGCCACCGGATCACTTCTTATTCTTAAATTAGAACATTACGGAGTAAGAGGGAAAACAAATTGCTGGATAAAAAACTTCCTACTTGGCCGCAAGCAAGCTGTCCTTTATGAAGGGAAAATTTCATCATATATGCCTGTAGAATCTGGGGTACCACAGGGGTCAGTTCTGGGACCAAGTCTCTTTCTGCACTACATAAACGACCTAGCATCAAGCCTACAATCCACTGTAAGATTATTTGCGGACGACACGATAGCTTATCTGACCATATCATGTGATCAGGATGCTAAATGTCTCCAATCTGACCTGGACAAATTAGCTGTATGGGCAAAAAACTGGACTATGTCCTTCCACCCGGACAAGTGTAGCGTACTTTCTATAACACGTAGTCGTTCTCCCAAACTGTATGATTATACCCTTTACGGACAAACCTTAAAACATGTAAATACTGCTAAATATTTGGGCATAACGTTTAGTTCAGACATGCGTTGGTAGAAACATATCACCAACATTTGTAACAAAGCCAACAACACTCTAAGCTTTTTAAGACGAAATCTCAAAATCAGCTCCAAAGGAATTAAAGCACAGGCATACAAATCTTTAGTTAGGCCATCAGTTGAATATGCCAGTACTGTATGGGACCCATATTTAGAACAAGACATCAATTAAATTGAAATGGTCCAGCGGAGAGGAGCTAGATTAACTTTAAATCGCCATGGCAACAGGTCCAGTGTAGGAGATATGTTAGATACTTTAAATTGGCCACTTTTAGAGACCAGAAGAAAAAAAATGCCCGCCTAGTCATGCTTTACAAAATTAAAAACAACCTGGTAGCAATTGACTCTACAAACAAACTACTCCCAGCTACACGTCTATCTAGTAACCAACATGAACAATGCTTCTCCATACCTCACTGCAGAACCCAGTATAAGAAAATGTCCTTTTATCCACGCACTATAGTTGATTGGAACAGCCTCCCGCCAGATATCGCCTACAAAAAAAATCACTAGTGGCCTTCAAATCTGCCATCCTAAACTTTAAAAAACCGCAAAGTAATGTGTGTTTTTAACCTTATCTATTTTTATTAGGTGATTAATTCTAAATTAGAAAAATCATTAGCAGTATATCAGTACACTCCTGTACGGGAAGGGTTCAGAAAGGTGGCCAGTGTTGATATGACCAACACCGATTAAGAACCCTTCCCCAATACAGAGCAGTTGTAATCTTTGTTAATTTGGCAATTTATGTTTGGTTCCATGTACAACAGCACACTTCTGTACAGTAAGGGTTCCTAAAGGTGGCCAGTGTTGACATGACCAACACCGAGTAAGAACTCCTCCTAATACAGAGTAGCTGGTTCTAAAAAACAATCAAACAAAACACTAAATAATCATCCTTCAAATTTCCTTATTATTTACTATTAGTAGTATTCTTCCTCATACTATTAATGATAATTATTATTATTTTTGTTTGTAAATGTTTTTAATCGTACTATTGCGCACGCACAAACCAGTGTCATTATATCCGGCAAGACGAATGAGGACACGGGGTGCAGTTTTTTGTAAGTCGTTTCGGTACTTGTATTTAAGTTGTTTCGGTACTTCAATAATTTTGATTATTGTTTCGATACTTCGTACTTTGGTATCTAAACGACCGGGTACCTAAACGACCGGGGTGCAGTCGTTTCGGTACCCGGTAGTTTCGGTACTTCAAAAAGAAGATGTTTCGGTACTTGTATTTAAGTTGTTTCGGTACTTCAATAATTTTGATTATTGTTTCGGTACTTCGTTTATTAGTTAATAAATATTTTTCATTTGTTGTTTATTGTTGGTTGTTTATTAATAGAATCTTTCACCCCCTTGGGGGTGAGATAGGAGAATCTCAACCCGAGGGGGAGAATGCTTAACTTGCCAAACACGAGGCTTTGCCGAGTGTTTGGCAACAAAAGAATCTTTCCCCGAGGGTTGAGATTCCACTATCTCACCCACAAGGGGGTGAATGATTCTTTTTCTCTTACCCTGTTCTTTCATTGTGTATCATATGCACAATGTAATGATAACGTTACATGCTAAATTCAGGGTTGACGTGACGTTGATGGATTGTTGACGTGACGTCATTGTATTGTTAAAGTGACGTCATGCCATTGTTAGGAAAGGGGAATCCCCCCAGGAAATCTCACACCGGTAAAAATGCGGATACACCTGTCCAGGGTAAGAGAATGTTTAAACAATCACGCAGATCAGTCAATCTTTGTTTTCGTACTTCAAACGTGATCCTGCAACATACGCGATGGTTGTTTATTTAACGTTTGCTTTTTTAACTGAGCAGCTGAGTAGATTGGAGTAGATCGAGTAGCTCCGAGTCGCTCTTTAGGAGAAACTCAACGGTGAGGGAATTCACCAACTTGTCATAAAAATGAGGGTTCCACTATCAAATTTATCAAAAACTCATCACGTCTTCGGCTATGATAGTAGCTATTGAATGACGATGTGAATTATGTTGTTAACTGTTTTTAAATGTATTTTTGTTTTTGTTTACTGAGTATAAATATATACTATCCCTTTATGGAAATAAAATTATTCATCAATGTAATAATATTAATTGTTTTATTTTTTGTATTCATGATTGAAACGAACGCCGCGTATCGATCGAAACGAAAAAAGATGATGAGAGAAAATAGACGTACATGTAAGGGTATAGGCCTACTTCAGATGATACATCATGAAGCGTCATGTGTATTTTGCAATCTGTCTTTTCAAAATCATATAATGTTGAATAGCAGCTCTAAATATAAAACATTAAATAACAGTACAAACTCATTTTGCGGTACCCCCACGTGTATTTTTTTTTATGTCACTGACATATTAGTAATTCCTGTAGGAACTCTATCTAAATCAGAGATTTATAACGATATATTTTCTATCGTTATAAATGTCTGATTTAGATAGAGATCCTATAGGATTTAACATCTTAGATATCAAGTTCGGGCTTATATCAAATATACATGGACTGTATCTAAACAAGCAATGTTTTCCATAAGTACCGAAACGATTTTCAGAAGTACCGAAACGATTTTCAGAAGTAGGCCTACCGAAACGACTTTCAGAAGTACCTGAGGACACTTACATGGCAGAAGCATCAAAGGAGACAAAACATAAAACAAGAACAGCACGGGCTGATTAAAGTGATATTTTTCAAATAGTGAAACGATGCCATTAAAGTCGGTGACTACCTAGTTACTTTTAGGAAAATTTCTTTATCGGTCACAGCATAATGACTTCTCCCTGCAACTCTTCAATGTGGAGATAAATTTGTGATTTTCACATTCTCAAAAAATGGCGGATTTAGAAGACGGCGAGTTACCAGATTCGGACGAAGAGGTTTGTTACGTCTAAAGACGCCACCCTGTCATATGTAACTTCATTTTTGAATATATATAACTTCTCAAAACAAATATTTTCATTCTTTATCACCATAACAAAACGCAATGTGCAACGACCATATACGTATACTTCACGAAATCTTCGACATCTTCTAAACAGGTTCCGGGTTGTTTCGCCCGAAATCCCGTTCGCCCTAGGATGATTCGCCCTAGGTTGTTTCGCCCTAGGATGATTCGCCCTAGGTTGTTTCGCCCTAGGATGATTCGCCCTAGGTTGTTTCGCCCTAGGATGATTCGCCCTAGGTTGTTTCGCCCTAGGATGATTCGCCCTAGGTTGTTTCGCCCTAGGATGATTCGCCCTAGGTTGTTTCGCCCTAGGATGATTCGCCCTAGGTTGTTTCGCCCTAGGATGATTCGCCCTAGGTTGTTTCGCCCTAGGATGATTCGCCCTAGGTTGTTTCGCCCTAAAACAAAAACATTGGAGCGAAACATTGTTTGATATTTTCTTTCAATTTCGGTAGTTTTAAGTCACAAATTAAGTGTTCTTGGTCTTCTATATCATTTGTATCAATTTCATAAACAAATGTGTTTGTCTTGTGCGAGTGTTACAAACGGCAGCTGTGAAATGCTGACTCCGCTCTCACATACTTATACTCTACTTGAAATATTCCAAACACCATTGTAGAAAGTCACCAATAAATTAAGTTGATATATTTAAATTTGAAATAAGCACCCGGGACTCACTTGATATATTTATAGAACGCTCTGAAGTCACCAATCAACGTTTCCGGTTTTTGCTAATATCGGTACCCAAATCCACCGAATTAGATTATCTAAGTCCGTGTCAAATCGGATCAAGGCTTGAATTTTGCAGTATCCTTATCAAAACACTGAAATTTTGAGTTTGAATTGCGTTTTCTGGTGCTATTAGAACTTCAAAACAAATCATCTGTAGACAAAAATGGTGCATATCTATCTATTCGAAGAAAACATCATTGTTATTACTGATCTGTTGACACATCTATTGATTTAAAAAGTATTTTTGCAAAAAGTGATCTGATTTGGGTACTGCCTCCTTACCCATTCCTTGAACCCAAACATCAACGAACTCGCCAAAAACGTTTGAAATCATTCAAAATAATCCAAGCAGATATAGCATATCACTTAAATACAGTTTCTTTCTGATAATTAATCACAATGGTGTCGGTCGGTTAGCCCTTAGATTTAATCCCGTTCTAGGTTGTTTCTCACTAAATAGTTTCACCCTTAAATATTTTAGGGTCCTGTTTATTTGTGTATAGCTGATATAGTCTGATTGGATGTTTTTCTAGATCCGTGTTATCTTTTATTGATTAAAGACTCTGTTGTTATATTTGTATGTGGTCGACCACAGGTCTAGGGGCTAGGTAGGGGTAAGGGGTATCACAATACGCCAAGAGTGTATCACAATATATTGCAATTCAGAATGAATATACAGTATTGCGATACGTATCCCGAAATAATGTCATAGGAAGGATGTGCTCAATTTTATAATAAGTTGTTGTCAGAATGTTATCAAACTTAATCATATATAATATGAATTACATAGATTTTAGATTTTTGTCAAACCAACCATCGATTACAAAATTTGAACTATTAAAAGCCCGGTTTATGCTTATTGGCATATCTGTTAGAATTTGTAGTAATTTGCAAAGTTAAAATACAAAGCAGATACATAAAATATGCTTTTGAAAAATGTTGCGATAAGGCAATTTTTCATCTCTGTATTGTGACAGCCCTACTAGGGGTAAGGTTCAATTTATATCTGAGGCCTCCTGTTTAATTGGTAAACAAGGAGGCCTCAGATATAAATTGATGAATTGAACCGTTGACCAGATCTGCACAAACAATATATGTAGCATGGAATTCTTTCGACAAGACATTTTCTCATGAAAACCAGACTTTGATCAAATTCTGTAGTGAAACATGAAGATAGTGAGCTTTTTTAATAATGAAAATCATTTCAGTTGATATTCATGACTTTAAAATATAGGGCGAAACATGTAAAACCTTAAGCTTTTAATTAGGCAAACTGGATTTAGGAGAAATGACTTGGATACATAGTGTGAATGCGATGTAAGGTGAAATGACCCAGATCCATCACAATAGTACAAACAACCATCTGAAAATGTGCGTACAGATAACACCGAAGATTTTCAACGTTAGGCCTAATGTACGTAACAGAGGTCATTACAGGGTTTTTGCAAGGTGTTTATAGGGTACCCCCCGGTTCAGTTAAGGGATCCATTTCCAATTGATTTTTTATTTTTTTTCCTAACTTCCTATACATTTGTATATACCTTCCCAAACCTGTACATGTTGTATGGAACACTGATGATATTTCCCAATTTTTGCCAAATGTCGATGATATTTTCCCCAATCCTGCTCCACAAATAGCTGGCAAAAACCCTGCATTATTTTTTCAATGCCTCTGCTTGAAGTTGAACCAAGACCTCTAGTTTACTAGTATTACGCTCTACTCAATGAACAAAAGAGAAATTCTCCCTAGCTGAGTCGGTAGGAAGCAGCTAGTATTTTACCCAGATGACAATGCAAACTCACCCTTTAGAAAGAACTTAAATAATGTCCCGAGATTTCCAGGGGTCAAAGCGATTCCTTTGCAAGTATTGTTGAGTATTTTGTCAAATCTCCCGGGTCCCTATTAGCGTACGTATAACAGTGGTCATTATTTTTTTCAAATGCCTCCACTAGCAGTCGAACCCAAGAATGGTGACCAGTATGATAATTGATAGATTTGCATTTTTCCTCAATTTCATAACAACTTAAATTTGTATATACTTCATGGTCAAATAATCTTGCGTTTATTGTATATAAAAGGAAAAATAAATTGATTTTTTTTTTATCAGGTTACCTGACCATAGGTCATGGTAACCTATTGTGTTACCCTTTGGCCGTCGTCGTCCTTCGTGTGTTAACTTTTCCTTGTGAACACGATAACTAAAGTAATTATCGACCAATTTTGATGAAACTTTGTATGCGGCCTTATATAAATAAGATCTCGGATGAGTTGGAAAATGGGAATTATTCGACAGTAACTTACCGAGTTATTGCCCTTTGTAATGATATTATTATACTATTTTGTATTGGATCTTGTGTTCACGATAACTTGAGTAAATATCAACCAAGTTTGATGAATTTCTGTATGTAGCCTTATATCAATAAGATCTCGGATGAGTTTGAAACTGGGAATTATTTGACGGTAACTTACAGAGTTATTGCGCTTTGTAATAATATTATTATTGGACCTTGTAAACATGGTAACTTGAATAAATGTTGACGGAGTTCAATGAAACTTTGTCCGGTAATTATTTGATGGTAACCTGCAGTTATTGCCCTTTGTCATTATATTATTATTTGTCCCTGTGATGTTGATTGACATTACACAAGAATAGATGTAAATTCATATAGTACACCCTTTTTTTTTACATTCATGACGCATTTTTGCTACTTTCAAGGTGCTATTTTGTGCCTTATTTAATAAATCATTGATTTACGCTTTTACTTGTTTCTTTTAACCAAGAACAGAAGACATGCAGTTACCAAGTTAGTTCAAAAAGACCCCTTGGGTCAAAATTGGAGTCACACCCATTTATTTCAGTTATCGTGTTCACAGGGTCCAACAATAATAGAATTACCAAGGAAATAACTATGTAAGTTATGGTCAAATTGGTCCGGTATTCAAACTCATCCAAGATCTCATTGATAAAAAGCTGCATACAAAGTTTCATCAAAATCAGTTCATATTTACTGAAGTTATTGTGTTCACTAGGAAAAATTAATGGACGATGCAGCAAGGTCCCTCGGACCGACGAAAAGTATGAATTGGCCCCTGGATGACAGTCCTAATTTGAATCAGATGTCAGGTGACCGTTAAGGCCCATGGGCCTCTTGTTTTGAATTGCTGAATAATTGATGACATGGATTTATTTTTTATTTTTAGGTTCCTTTATCTGTCACAGATAGTAAAAAGCCAGATGGAGCCTGCATGAATTATTCACATGAAGGCGGTGATGTTCCATCCTCATTCAGTGCAAGACAGTCAGCAACCAAATCCATAGCAACAACCTATGATAACCATACCTACCGCAGCAGACATTCACAGCCACCAGCAGACAGCGAGGATGACTCCTCAGATACCAGTGATGAAGACACTGATCTCTGGCACTGCAAAAAAGCCAAGTACTTTTCTAAACCTCGGGCTCAGAGTATGGACCTTGCTCATGAAATTACCTCCCCTCCTCGGGGATTGAAGCCACCTTCAAATGACACAGATGAAGATCAAATGGATAGCCCTCAGAAGAAGCGGAAGTTGAACAACATTTGGGGTGCAGTCATTACAGAACAGACCATTACCCACTCTTTTAAAATGGGTGCAAATGTTGATAAAAATGAGGACTGTGATGAGGAAAGGGATGTAGAATCGTATGATTACACAAAGGCTTATGAAGATGATAGGCCATGTATTGCTGAACAGCGACCAATTCTGTCTCGAGAAAATAATGACCCATTTGAAAACGTTATCGATTCAATTGAAGAATTATATGATGGTGACACCAAAAAAGCTGAAAACAGAAAGCGAAAAAGGCATGTGAAAGATCGCATTGGTAGAAAGGACCGCCATAGCGTTACTGATAGGCTAGGGGGAAAACAGCATGACAGTGTGAAGGAAAGGCTAGGTCACATAGACCCAAACATTGACAGGATTGAAGAGGTGACTGAGAGAGATCCAGACGAAAAGGTGATCAAGTCCATATTGGATATGTTACAGGAACCCAACAAAGACTTGTTTGGTGAGCATTTTACATACATGTGTAACCATATGTCAATTTAGTGAAACCCATTGACCTGATCATGGTTATAAGTTAAAGTTTGTTTTAGACCTAGGCACTGCATTAGTTCCAAAATATGATATTGAGGCGTTTCAGTGATAATTTCTTAAAGTGAAGACAAATTTGTTTTAGATACGTATACTCGTTAGATTTGTATACCCCCTGCAACAAAGTTGGGGGGTTGGTGGTGGTTATACTGGAATCAGCTTGTCCGTCGTCTGTCTGTCAGTAGACAAAATTTGTCCGGTTACAATAAATGATTTTTTTTGAAACTTTTTGTGTAGTGATAGTACCATGCAAAGGTGCCAACCCTTCCTCTTTTGGCCTAATCCTTACAATTTTAACATAAAAAATAAGTCTTACAATTTTGCCTATTCACTGTATGGTTTTGTTTTATTTCTGCCAATTCAAGAAATTTCTGCCCCTTTCTGCATCGTTTTATTATGTTATCCTGATTGCAGTCTTCAGTGTTTTTAATAAATCTAGAAACTGAATCATATATATGTGACTGTGATCACACTTCCTCTTTCTTTAGCAAGAAAATGTAATGGAAAAATGTGCTCTCGATGAGAGAGATAAAATTGATTGTTCAGGTAGCCCACCCCAAAAATTGAAAAAGCAATGGGATCAAAACTTTAAACCAGAATATATATATACAGAGAATGACGTTTCCATTGTCAATACCGGTATACCATTTATGTGTATGCAGGGGTTATACTTGTCACCCCCCTCGGTGACAGCTTAACAGGGTTCGAACAGGGGTATATATAATTATCTCAAAATCTATTTTAACTGGTTCAACTTGGGTCATTCTGTAATATACATATTATGCAATTAGATGAGGGTTGAGAAAAAGATATTTTTGTAATTACTGATGACAATAAAAGGAGCAAGGTGCTTTCATAGTTTTAAATAAACAATATTACTTGTAGTTTAATCATTTGCTCCTATTTTTACAGCTTTTTAAATTCAAATTCATGTTTTAAGACAATGTGTGAGTGACTTGACCCTGGCAATAACTGGAATTACAGAACCATATGATGATCATTTTCCACTTAATTAAAACAGTGTTGACTTTTAGGAAATAGTTTCTTGTTAAAATGTAACATGGACAAATGAGGATTTGAATATGTTATTTTACTTCATTAACTTTCCTTTGTTATACCTTGGCGTCTGCCGTCTGTCCAACGTCTGTCGTCCGTCTGTCAACAATTTCTTCAAACGACTTCTTCTTAACTACTGATTGGAAATTAACTAAATTTGACTGGCAGCATCCCTTGGTGGTGGGGATTCAAAATTGTACAAATGGTGGGGCTGACCCCCGGGGGGCTGAGAGGCGGGGCAAAAAGGGGGCAATTTGGCTATATTGCTACAAACGACTTCTTCTGTAGAACTATGCCATGGATATCAACCATATTTGACTGGAAGCATCCCTAGGTGGTGGGGATTCAAAATTGTACAAATGATTGGGCTGACCCCCCAGGGGGCTGAGGGGCGGGGC